CCGCTGTTGAAACTGATCAGTTTCAGCAGCGGCTGAATCTGGACGCCAGTTCTGACTTACATACAGATTCAACTTAAGAACAAACCTACAGTCCCTATCTTGTACGTAACCCGGGGACTGCCTGTATTCTAAAAGCCTAGCTCTAGGTAATACAAGTCTCTTAAGTGGGCTTCCTCATAACGGGAGCACATCATAGCTTTCCTCCAACTATTAGTTTGGCCTGCTATACTGTATTGGGGATAGGTAAGAGGAGATAAGATGTTCAGCACTGGCTCTGTTCAGAGGTCACAGTCCCATCAATTTTGGTCCTCTCTGGGGAGAAGAAATGCAGGGAAATAATTCTGGTAGTGCTAGTTGAAGTTAAGAATTCAATGACATAATGGTAGTGGATAAGGCAGAACAATGAATTGCTACTCTGTTTGCTTTTTCAAAGACAGGATTAATTGTGATAAGGATTTAAGGGCTGTGAGGCTCCCATCCCAGGAGTCCTTTGACAAATCTGAGCTATTTCCAACATTTCCAGGAAGTGTGGTGCAGCCCTAATGTATCAGATATAAGGCTCCAGAACACTTTTTAAATTTCCTCAGTCACAAAAATATTGTAAACAGACGAGACTACATACATCTGGGTAAACAGCATGTCTGAGTAAGTATTTTGGACTAACTGCCTAAGACTACAATGATCTTTTAGTCTAAAATAACTTCAAGTGGGTTCTTAAATTCCATTGTGATATGCCCAAAACTAAAAGGAAAAAAAAGCAACCAAGTGTTCTGCCTGAATATATGTGAGAATAATTAACTCCTTTTTCTCATTTCCTTTGCACACATAAGTAAACACATAATAACCAATGAGTAACGGTCAGGCATTCCTAAACAATTATAAGAAAATGCCTTACCAAGATGTAGATTTTTCCATCATGCCCTTGTATTCTGAACCTAAACGTACTTCTGGCAGAGGATAACTGCATGAGACATTGAGCTATAATGCTCTGTACAAACTGAGACCTGTTTTAAAATAAATAGTTAGTTTTTATTTATTTATTTTACAAAATTAGCCACTGATCTCCAATTAGCCCCAAGTAAACTCTAAATATATGGCGCCTGGGATTTTCCATGCTGTGAATTCTACTACAATCTAGCACAGAAATAATGCCCCCTAGACTTAAGTCACTATTGTGTGGAGAGAGACAAAGCTTCTCTCTTCACTCCCACCTTTCCAGTCTTTCCATAACACAAACAAGAACATTCTTTCTTTTCTGCAGAATGATAATTGCCATACTTGAACAGACCAATGGTCCACATGGTCAAATGTCCTGTATCTGACATCTAATCTCAAATGCTGCAGATAAAGGTCTACAAACTCAATATTGCACTTTATCCTGAAATACAATGTATGCATACAACACAATTACATACATATTAGAAATATCTTTTAGTTTGCAGAATAGAACAGTAATTGTTCACAGCAGGCTATATTTTATGGTTAACTCAACCTATGTAGCCTGAACTTTAAAATGGATTGATTGTCTGGGGAAAAAAATGAAAAATATCAGTATTAGATTAAATTAAAGGCTACAAAAAAGACAGGAAAAGTATGATTTAGATTGTCAGACGCCATCTTGCAATGAAAACATTGCCTAAATTTAGAAAAAACAACAAAGTTTTTATAATTAGTTACTTAAAGTCAAACAATTTAAAAGAGTTAAGTTTCCAACTACAAAGTTAATTTGGCTTTCCATAATACCATCTGTACTTCATGGTATACAGTTTACAATAAGCAGTAATATACAAAGCTGCACATTTAACTAGAAAAGAGATCACAAGACACAGCAGGTATGCTATATGGTTGAGTTAATAGTGTTTTTGCATTTCCTAACTTTTTTATTTTAATAGTGTAGACTTAATACTTCATTAGCATAATATAATTAAATACCAAAAAGTAGCTATCCAAAAAAAGTAATCATCACCACACAACATTATTCCAATAACCAAACTGAGTACATTATCTGATTTCTATACCTTGGTATCATGTCAAATTTTTTTCCAGGTGGCTGAATAATCATCTCAGTGAAATAATATTTTGTAATCCCTATAAATCAGACAAAAGGAAATTTTTAAACCAAACAGTACACTTATTTTCTTCAATGATATACGTACTGCATCCCCACATTCATAAATTCCTATATCAGCATCCAGTTAAATGGTGGAAGAGATGTCCACATTCCTGTTTGGACATTTAGAAGGAGGGTAACTGGTAAAGAAAACAGGCATGGTCAAAAAGAATACCTCCTAAAAGAACTAAAGAGATAATCACAAGATCAATATTTTGCCATCCGTATCGTTCCCTACTTAAGCATCCAGCACAATCATATCCCCGTGTACTGCATATCAATCCAGTGTAGGCAAGAGCCAAATCCCTGTAGTGATCATTTTTAAAACATTTTATGTATTGGATTGCTGATACTAATTGAAAACTCACATTATTGCTGCACCAACCTTGAACAAGAAACTAAAAACACTTAATGGACTGAAACCCATGCAACTTAATGTTAGTAGTTCAATATCCTTTACCAACCAATGATTCCCCAGTGAATCTCACACATAGCTCTAACAAGAGTAAACTCAAGGGACTAATTCTCTTCTTTCTTCAAAGAGAGGAAACAATATTTCTCTGTAACAAAGTTAGGTTAACTCAGGACACTGGCTCTTTCTGTATTGATATATACAAGACCTATTCAAGTACAGACATTTAAAAAAAAAAATCAACTGCTTCAGCTTTCCAGGCTTAGCTGCTTCCTTCCAGGTTGTCTTCTTTTAAAATTTTGTAGGTATAAAAATATATACTTTATTTATAATATAAACACAATATGTATTTTACAAGATATTTCTGGGTTGCTAAGTAGGTGCATTTGAGTACCTAATTCTGTAAACAAACAAAGACAATATAATGTTCTAAATGGAGAGAGAGAAAAAAAGAATTTTTAATCACAATTGCATCAGATCTACTTTTGTACACAAGCATCTAGTACAATATGGTTACCTCCAGATACAAAAAACAAGTATACACAACTGTAGCATGAAGTATGAGTAGATATTGTAAATCTTGGGCTTCTTGGAGATAGGATTAGAAGCAGGGATGTAAAATCCCATTTAATTGGTTAAACAGTTAAACATAGTGCTAATACTACATTTAACAAATTAAAGAGGAGTGGATAGGGGCGTTCCAGAGGGGCTGGACCAGCTCCCACTCCTTCTGGGGTCAGGCTAGCGCAGCCCTCACCAAAGGCTGGAGCTGTTCCAGCCCAGCAGTTCCTGGCCACCGTATGGCCTAATATAGAGCCTCATCACAGAATCTCATGAAGTAGTACACTTAGTGTAAATAGACTATATTTGAGACCCACTTATTCTAAATGTAATTCAGTGCTGACATTTTTTCCTTTTCTATATTTGTCATTCCATTGTAGAAAACAAAAAGCTTAGTGAAAACAAACAACAGGTTTGCCAAACACTCCTCAGGACACCAGGAGACGGGTCCAACAACATAGAAGGTAAAATTTTAAAGTAAATGCCGAGCACAGAAACTGAAAATAGAAAAAAAATTATTTTACATTTACTCAAGGCAGTTGCCATTGGATTTTTACTAGCAGTGAGAGAAGTTTGTTTGAACAAAAACAGAAGACTCACAGGACAATTAAAGCTGCATCACATTTAAGACAAATATATTTTACAAGGTAGAACAGAGCATGTAGATTGGAGTAGTTTAAACTTCTAGTTAAAACTAGTGTTCCTGCAGTGAACATGTCCAATAGGCAGTTATGCTCAAGTCTGCAGAGTACGGCCTTTAAAATCTATTATATATTTTGAAGAGTTTGTTTGTTTGTGGATTTGTTTGTGCAAAATAAAGTCATACTTCAGGATTAGCTACAACTACCAAATTTTGCATAAAGAATCCTGCCACTTAAATTAGCTGAACGAACTATGTTTTACATTGGAATATGCTGGGTGAAATATCTAAATAATTATTTTTGTTTTTCACTGGAAAAGAGTCATGACTAGTATGATCAGAGTTCATAAAAATATTTGCTAACAAAATTAAAATCAAGTCACCTATTCAACTGTCATTTTAGAGCAAACAAAATTTTTACTCTTACAAATCACAAAATAATTCAAATTAGTTACTGAAAGAGTAATGGAAGCTTTACGAGTTTCTGATACAAATTTACTTTGTATGGTAGTTATTCAATATAATGAATAATGTTTGAAGTTGAAATCCTATAAATTTAAAACTGTTCTTTTATTTCCCTTTTGCAAGCACATTAATACAAAAATTCTATTACATATATTTAATTTCTTGAATTTTCCTATAAGTGTAATCTATGCAAAATGACTTTTCTTAGTCAACAAAGGGCCTCAGCAGTTACTGTTTAATATATGCAAAGTAGAAAAAAATTAAAAAGAAACAAAACAAAAATAGCAGCAGTTAACACAAAAAAAATAAGAACAGTGTCTATACACACACACACACACACACACACACACACGAGAGATTAAAATGAACATTAAGTTTTTTGTATGGATGTAACATCTCTCACCCACATTTCTTATATGACAATTCCTTCTCTCCCATCCTTTTATCTGTCTTTGTCTTTATAGATTTTTAAACTCTTTAGGTCTGGGGTATCTTATCTATAGGTCTGTATAGCATTTTGCACATTTTATATTCTACTGCAATGTAAATAAATAATGCATACCACTCCCAGGCAATAATCTCAACTCAAATATTTATATATAAAAATTACAGATTTATAGATACCCATACCAGTATTAACAGAGTCAGGGCACACATTATGTATTCCTATTATATAATATGTTATTGCAACCATGCAGATAAATTAATCCTCAATACATTAAAAAGATCTTGCCAAATGTTAAGCGGTGAGATTTTATAGCCATCTTTTCTGTATTACCAGTATTCTACCACTAATTCTACCACTTTTCTGTATTAGTTTTAGTTAGGAAGGAGATTTTTGTTCAAAGAAATTATCCTTTGCATATGGTTTATAAAAAGTTTATTTTACCTTATTTTGTTTAGAAGAGCTATTTACAATGGACAAACTGCATAATAGAGCTTGTACACGAAACAAGTGGTTCCCAACCTGTGGCCCATGGATCCTTGGTGGTCTGCGACATTACTGCAGGGAATTTGTGGAAAGTTTTAAATGTAAGGATCAGGCACACCACAATGGGCCCAATCCTTCCCTCCCCTCCCCCCTTTACTTTCCTTTTTCTCTCTATTTTTCTTTCATTTTCTTTCTTTCCTTTTCTCTTTCTTGGTTTTCTGTTTCTTTTTCTTACTCTCTTCCCCAGGGAGGAAGGCAGGGGGCATGAAATTTTAATAGACTGAAAAGGGGTCCATATGCTTGAACAGGTTGGGAACCACTACACTCAACAACATTTACTAAGGTACACAAAGCTTGCATTCCAAGATTAAATTGGAAATGTGTCCATGATACTGAGGAGACATCTTTTCAAAAATAAATCTAAACTGCTTGTGTTCATATTTTAATCTTTAAATATTATTTCAACTCAGATTTTCTCATATCACATCTTTAGGTGTAATTACAAACCCATTTTATAACTCAGCAAGTAGCATGAGTCAAACATAGCAAAATGAATGTATTCCTTTTATAAGTGCTAAAATACAGAGAACAATATGGCCAGATGCACTACATAAACAAGGATCAAAATAAGTTATTGGGGCCAATAAACTCATAGTTCTGACAGTATAAACAATCTCACCCTTTCAGAAGTGAAGGAAAAGAACCCACAGGAATCAACTCAGCATCCTATTGATAAATTATTTTTCTCCAGAACTTTTAACCTCTAATGTTTAGTGAGAGAGCCAGCCAAATATGGTTTTGTTTGTGTAATCCATACCTGATGATACCGTCTCTCCCAGCATTCTCTTGCAGCGCTTACAAATTACTGTGGTATTTTCCTTTGATTTCTGTAGGACAGAGAAATGCCATTTAAATGTCATTCAACTCTTCTAAATAAGAATGCATAATTTTAACATATTCTCCAGAGTGCACTTCTTTATTCTGCACTCCTTAGAATGCTTACATATATAGAGATGTGAGCTGTTTCATTCACTGAAGCCCTCTAAACTTTCTGAGTTACTTAGAAATTGTGTGTTTTATTTAAATCTTACAGTACATGCTACAAATTAAACCCAGTATTTATATTTAAATTGAATATTGCTTAAAAGATAACTGACAACACCTATAATTCAAGCAATTTCATTAGCAAGACTTTTGCATCTAGTATGTTTCATTTGGGGTATATATGCCGCAAATATATTTCACACAGGTATTTGTTTAGGCTTACAAGTCTGAAAAAGAACTTTCACCTTGAAAAAAATCATATTGAAGCCAGATTTATACCCACACAGAAAAGTAACACCTATTATAAAAAATTAGTTGAAAAAAATGTGTTTTTTTAATTTATTATGACTTTAATAAAAGATGGTCACATTTTTCCACTGTTTCCAACTCTAATGAAGCGACACTTTTACTAAAGCCAGCTTGCCTCTCAACTTTAAAATCGTGTGATACAAGTCACCATAACGTATGACAAATGACCAAACGTATAATTTGTGTTGCTGCCTGCTGTACCATAAATGACAGATTATGTTGTTTTCTCACAAAACATTTTTAAAGAATGTTTTCCCATTGTGTGATGGAAATGTAATTATAATACAACCAAATCAAAAATCTTACCTATAGGAACAAAGAATATAGTGTGACAGGTCAGGCTAAAAGTTTAAATTAGAAGGGGAAGAGAAGCAGCTCTAGTAAACAGAAAGGGCCCTGGCTAATTAGGGGAGGGTTATTCAGGGCATCCAGGAGTAGCTGACCCACAGTTATCATGGGCAGAGTGGGAGCAGCTGGTGGGAGGGATGGGACTGCTATACATCAATTAGGGTTAGCTGATCTCATTTGAGGCTGCCACAGGGCCTTTTAAAAAGCCTTCCCTACTGGGGGAAAGGGTGGAGAGTGGAAGAGGAAGTTGGAAAGAATAACAGATAAGGAGACAATCAGAAAAGTTGAAAAGGGGAATGGCAGCATTCCACAGACAGCAGGGGAGGGGAAGAGCTCTGCATTCCACAGACAGCAGGGGAGGGGAGGAGATCCCACAAGACATGTTTGGGATCCTTTTCCAAGTAGCCTGAGAGTGGAGCTACTAGTGGCTGGAGAGAACTGTTTACCCAGCCTCAAGCTGACCAGGGGATGGGATGCTTACCCCAATTCCCTTCGAGCCAGGGGACAGAAGTCCAAACCCCAGCAAGGGCAAGCAGGGCCTGCTTTCATGTATAAGCAGAGAAATATTGAGTAGGAGTTAGGGATGATAACAGGTAACTGGTAAACATTACCCTTACTGGTTGATGCTTACTAGGTCATGGTTAAGCACTACCTAGGGAGAAGCCCCCTGCCCCATGGCCTGAAACAGGTAGAAGGCTGCTCTAGCCCCACCAGGGCTAAAAGCAGCAGGATGGGGGAGGGGTGTGAGAGGGGGTGTGGCTCTAGTCTAGCAGGGCTGGAGCAGCTATTCCATCCCCATTTATTAGTTAATTGGTTAAACTTGTTTAATTGGTTAATTAAATGGGATTTTCCATCCCCTGTAGACGTAGAGCAGTAGTATCACTTCCAATAACTGTCTCTAGTGCTGTATATAGAATACGGTGTCAAGTTCTGGAGTCCATACTTATACTTCATAAAGCTCAATCTAGTTTGATTAAGAGATGACTTGATCACTGTCCACAAGTATCTATAAGGTGAAGAGGTTTATGATAGTAGCTCTTTAACTAGCAGAAAAAGATATAAAATCCTAAAGTTGAAAGCTGAAGACAGACAAATTTAAGCTAGAAATAAAGTATAATTTTTTAAAACAAGGGTAATTAGCCATTGGAAGAACTCCCATAGCGACATGGTGGATTTTCTGTGACAAATATCAATTTTTTATTTAAAGGCTTTATTTAAGAAACATATTAAAGCTCAAACAGAAGTCATGGGTTTGAAAATATTACTTCATCAGATTTTTAGCTTGTGTTGTACAGGTCAAACTAGATAATTATGGTGGTCCATTCTGTTCTTAAAAATGTACCTGTCTGGGAATATTAGAGATGTGGGTTCTATTCCTAGCTCTGCTAAAAGGAACCTTGTCAGGTGAAAGTCAGGCTTCCTCTAGTAAAAAGGGCTGCCTATTAGCACTTGTTTCTAAAGAGACAATCACAAATGCTCTCAAGAAAGATTCTTATTTCCTAAGATTAGGAAACTGAGGAGATAGTCTATACTGCAAATCTCAACTAAGCCAGGAAACATCTATAGTGATTCTAGTGGGGACATACAGGTTGGGATTTCTCCAGCCTCTGTTGACTTTTACAACCTTAACAGGACACCTTATACAGGGTACGTCTACGCTACATTCCTCTTTCAAGACAGGAATGCAAATGCAGACAAACGAAACTGCAAATGAAGTGTGGTTTTTGAATTTAACGGTTATTTCAAAGAAGGGTTTTTTTCTCGAAATAACTGCATCTAAACAGCGTTTCTCTCGAAATAGGGTATTTCGAAAAAGCAGCTGGCTGCGATTATGCAAATGAAGCACAGGAAATTCAAATCCATGCTTCATTTGCAATTTTGTTTGTCCTCATTTGCATTCTTCTCTCAAAAAAGGAATGCAGTGTAAACATACTAACAGGAATTGTGGATCCCATTGTACCAAAGTTTGAGCCGATGAAGACAACTGCAACTCCTTTCCCTTTCCCAACTCCCTCCTCTTTACTCTCCCCTAAGAGGTATGGAGTAGAACTTACTTTCATTCTCTCTCTCTCTCTCTCTTCTTGGCAAGGAGTTTGGATTTCTTAACACATAATAAGGGAAGGCAGGGGTCGGGGCAATATAAACTGTATTCCTCAGATAACTGAGTTTTTCAGCTAAAAGTTACATCATGTGGCTGAGAGTCGTGCAGTGTGGTACCTAAAAACTCTGAGAACTCAATGGTATTACTGCTTAAACAAAAAGGATGATACTTTTACCCAGACTAATTAAATCAATATATCTATGTGACAACTCACAGCTGCCGGCAATCTGCAGATGGAGGCAGATCCTCTCCTAATACTTTTTTTGTGTGTGTTTCTATTTCTAAAGATCCTTGATATTGTCTCAGGGAAAATATTTTCCCCAAGAGACATTATTAGGATGCTGCATGACCATGTGACATTTAAAATGTGTGTTATATCGTTAGACTAAGATGTGAGCAATATGTTTTCCATGGCAGAAAATTGTCTTGGTCCCACAGGAGGCAGAGAGGATTGTTTAAGTATCTCTACTACACTCCTGCTACTGTTTTGGTCACAGGCACACACTTTTCAATGACTGCCATGCAATTAAAGAGGGACTTTCATACTAGTGCAAGCTGCATGAATATATTATAAAATCAGAACACTTGTACCATCAGCAATCCATGTTGTCTGTAATTTTCTTATAACCTCTCCATATTATGAAGAATTTTGTATTTCAATATGAATTTTTCCCTGATTAGTCCAGTTTTGGATTGATCTTAAAGCTGTGCTCATTTGCTTGTCAACTGACTGATGCTGGAAATCAATGAGTGCACATTAGAGTTTCAGTACAAGAGCAATAGAAGGGGTTTCAAACAACCCAGTAAGAAATCTTGGCATCAAGGCAATTTTTAGGAAGTGAATATGAAGATTCATCTCATTCGAAAAATCTTCAGGTGCCTCTCACATGAGACTTCTCTCATTTTTTATTGGAGCTTGCACGACTATGTGGTTCTGAACATCAATGGTGCAGAGCATTTAAATGAGACACTTTGTTTTGGATGCAGCTGCCCAACATCTATACCCACAAGTGCTTTAGTTGCAACCCTCTCTGAGCTACCTCTCTGAGTCCCTTTACTGCCTGTGGAAGCAGTTGCTTATAAGAGACTTGACAGTCCAAAGATTATGAGAGAAAGGGGTTGAAACAAGCCTAACTCTCTGGGCACCACAATTTCAGTAATAGATTCTAAACACAGAGGCCATGCTGAACAGATAGGGTTTACTCTTTGTTCAGAGAGACGTTTCTGTTAAACGTCCTGAAAATCCAACAGCTGGCATCTCAAAAACCCAAAAGAAGATCAAGCATGGGAAGAGGCAGAGCCTGAGACTCACAGCACATGGAATTCATACTATGATTCACAGAGAGGCTCAGACTGGTCAGTCCTAGCCTAAAAAGCTCTGTACGTTACCTGAAGACAGTATTTTGCCAGGCAAGTGCAGCTAAACAAAAATATTTTAAAAAGATGAGTCCATTTTCCCTCCACCATTTTCATTGTGGGAACATATATAAATGATATTGGGACCCAAACCACAGCCTGATTTTGACAAGTTCTGTATCTCCCAACTGTGTGATTTATATTTACTTTTTAGTGTCCAGAATAGTTTCAGCAAATGTACTTACCCTTTGACTCCATTCTTAGCTTTTGGGTTTTATTTTGCTACTCTTTGATTCTTCCTACCATAGCAGAGGTACAGTTTTAATTAACTACCAATCTGATTAAATAAAGCCTGTAGTAATGGACCACCGTTTCCAGTCAAATCAAGGCTGATTCAAGGATTCTACTACTTTACTCTCTGGCAATATGAAATCCCATTTTGCTTTAGCTGCTCATCTTTGCAAGTACAGGTTGAACCTCTATGGCCCAGCATTCTCTGGTCTGGCAACATCCATGGTCTGGAAGGACCATGGATGTTCCTGGACTAGAGAGCCCCAGCAGAGCCGGCCAGCAGGACAGGAGTCCACAGGGCATCAAAGCCTGTTGCCAGATGGGCTGGGAAACTAGCAGGGGCGCCGGGATCCACAGGGTGGGCAGCAGAGCTCACAATGGGCCGGGAAGCTGGTGGGGCTGCCAGAGGGCTCTGTTGAGCTTGCAGCCAGCAGGGCCGGGGGGGGCGAGGAGGGCAGAGGGAGCTGCAGAGCCCACAGCTGGCAGAGCCACAAGTACAGGCAGTCCCCAACTTATGTCAGATCCGCACTTACGAACGGGGCTCTCTCGCCCCGGAGCTCGCAGGCAGCGATCCACCACCTCGACCTCCGGGGCGAGAAAAGCTACTCCCGGTGCCCCTGGTCTGCTGGAGACGGTCCCCAGCAGACCAGGGGCACTGGGAGCGAAGCCGCAGCGGGGGCACCCTGCTGCCGCTGCGGCTTTGCTCCCGGTGTCTCTGGTCTGCTGGAGACGGTCCCCAGCAGACCAGGGGCACTGGGAGCGAAGCCGCAGCGGGGGCACCCTGCTGCCGCTGCGGCTTTGCTCCCGGTGTCTCTGGTCTGCTGGAGACGGTCCCCAGCAGACCAGGGGCACTGGGAGCGAAGCCGCAGCGGGGGCACCCTGCTGCCGCTGCGGCTTTGCTCCCGGTGTCTCTGGTCTGCTGGAGACGGTCCCCAGCAGACCAGGGGCACTGGGAGCGAAGCCGCAGCGGGGGCACCCTGCTGCCGCTGCGGCTTTGCTCCCGGTGTCTCTGGTCTGCTGGAGACGGTCCCCAGCAGACCAGGGGCACTGGGAGCGAAGCCGCAGCGGGGGCACCCTGCTGCCGCTGCGGCTTTGCTCCCGGTGTCTCTGGTCTGCTGGAGACGGTCCCCAGCAGACCAGGGGCACTGGGAGCGAAGCCGCAGCGGGGGCACCCTGCTGCCGCTGCGGCTTTGCTCCCGGTGTCTCTGGTCTGCTGGAGACGGTCCCCAGCAGACCAGGGGCACTGGGAGCGAAGCCGCAGCGGGGGCACCCTGCTGCCGCTGCGGCTTTGCTCCCGGTGTCTCTGGTCTGCTGGAGACGGTCCCCAGCAGACCAGGGGCACCGGGAGTAGCTTTTCTCGCCCCGGAGGTCGAGGTGGTGGATCGCTGCCTGCGAGCTCCGGGCAGTCCCTATCTTGTACGTAACCCGGGGACTGCCTGTACCTGCAGGAGCTCCCACCAGAGTTCCAGGGCTGGCAGGTTTGCTGAAGCCCACGGGGCTGCTGCCAGGAGACCAAAGGGAGGGATGCTAGGTAGTTGGGGAGAGGAGCCCAGTAGAGAGGCTGGTGCAACCCTCTCCCCCCACCCCGGCGCTGACCTTCTCTGGTCTGGAAACTCCTTTGTCTGGGACTGGTCAGATCTTGAGGAAGTTGGACTAGGGAGGTCCAACCTGTACTGTACTAGGTTCTCTGAATAGTATTTTTACAGTGATTCCAACCGTATTTCAAGGCGGAGGTTTCTGAATCATTTCTTGTTGACCCAGGAGATACTAAGACCAGGAGTAATTATTCTGAAACTGCAAACCATAATCTAGAACTTAGTCTAGCTTTTAGGCAACAGATGTTAACTACTCTACAAACCTTGAACTTAATAAAAGTCTTTCAGTGAAATGGCCACTACCCAAAATAAAATAAAAAATAAAAAGTCACAACGTGAGACATTAAAACAAAATACTTTACCAAGGCAAAGCTCCTCTCAGAAGCAGAATGTTCAGTCTCTAAATGGACTATTTCAGTTGCAGGTACATATGACTTACTTCCTGAATTCACCAGAAAGTAAGTGTGTTCAAAAAAACAGTCGTCATTCTGAGGATGAAGAGCACTTTTGGCAAAGGGATTGGGGTGGCAGCACCATTCCTCAACCAAAGCACTCCAGTTTTCACTTGGTAGGGGAAGAACTCTGAGAAATGTCCTAGCAGAGGAAAGAAAACAAGATATTTCAATCTATTACAAGCATTTCTAAAGGCACTTGTCTTCACACTGCAAAAAAACCAAAAGTCTATCAAATATGACATTCCCTCCCTCCCCAGAAGTAAGAGCTGCCTTCCCCACCTTCAGCAAAAGGTACATATTTATAGATACTGAAGTCCACTGGATGAATTCTGAGAAGGCAATAGTAATAAATCATGACAAGATTATTTGGGACTGTCTTGCATTATGATAACAGGTGGAAAGACTCAGGCTCAGCCTGATCTCCAGCAATTATACTGCAGAAATTGGCATTGATAACTAGTGAAGTGAAAAAAATACCTTGTTTTTTAGCAGTGAAAAACAAAGTCATGTGCTTTTTAAAAAAATGTATCATCTTTTAGCTCAGATGCCCATGCAATGTCAACACAGGTCTTAAGAACTACTAAGCAAGGCCACTTAAGCATTCCAAAGCCCCTCCGACAGGGACGCAATCAGACTCTGAAGCAAAACAAACAAAATTAAAAAAATGCTATAGTGCTTTTTCTTGTACTAGATAATGCAACCTGAAGTTAAACTAAAATTTAATTTGCAGAAGTCACACATTCCTGAAGACACCTTACCATGTGTCATATCTCAAAGTCAGAATATATGTTAACACACACACTGGTGTACACAAACAATTCTATTTATCTGAAACATCTACAGGCAGTCCCCGGGTTACGTACAAGATAGGGACTGTAGGTTTGTTCTTAAGTTGAATCTGTATGTAAGTCGGAACTGGCGTCCAGATTCAGCCGCTGCTGAAACTGATCAGTTTCAACAGCGCTGAATCTGGATGCCAGTTCCGACTTACATACAGATTCAACTTAAGAACAAACCTACAGTCCCTATCTTGTACGTAACCCGGGGACTGCCTGTACTGCATTCAATCTCGCCAATAAATCTGAATAGAATTTCATGGGACAGAGGAAGGGCTCTTCTCTACTTGAGTGGACTTCCCCTATCAAATAGCAAAGGTCTGCTGAAAACAATGGAGGTGTGAGACTTTCTTACATAAAAGATCACAATAATGGGAAAGTGTTAGGCAAGCTAAATAAAGGAATTGCTATCAGCTCCCCAAATACTCATCTGTAATCAAGTTATTGCTCTCAGCTGTGCATGAAATATTTATTACTATCCAATTATTACCACAATTTTGATCCTTATCTAGTTTATTACATGGTGTTTATGTCTGTAGGGGTATGTCTACACTACAAAGTTAGTTCGAACTAACGGAAGTTAGTTCGAACTAACTTTCCTAGGCGCTATACTAGCGCTCCGTTAGTTCGAACTTGATTCGAACTAGCGGAGCGCTTAGTTCGAACTAGGTAAACCTCATTTTACGAGGACTAACGCCTAGTTCGAACTAGCTAGTTCGAACTAAGGGCTGTGTAGCCCTTTAGTTCGAACTAGTGGGAGGCTAGCCCTCCCCAGGTTTCCCTGGTGGCCACTCTGGCCAACACCAGGGAAACTCTATGCCCCCCTCCCGGCCCCGGACCCCTTAAAGGGGCACGGGCTGGCTACGGTGCCCGTGCCAGGTGCAAGCCTGCCAGCACCCAGCTAGCAGACCCTGCACCTGGCACGG